CATAAAATCTCCAAAGTTTGACCACCAAATTTGAGAAAAATGATAAATTCTAAACAATCCGAGAAACATGTCAAGTGATTGATACTCGACACTTTTGAAAAACGAAGCACTGAAAATAGAGAAAGATGTTATGTCATTAAGACAAAGGGGACTCAGGTATCCAAGGAAGATTTTTGAAATAACATGACATTTGATGTAGTTTTAACAACATAACTTTAACCACAAAGGTAACAATTAGCTGACCAAACAACATCTGAATACATTCGGTAAACCTCAAAACAAGGAGGAAAGACTAATATCATGATACTTTTGAAAAACAAAACACTCAAAACAGAGAAATAGATTCTTTAGATGGTGTCCACATAAGATTTTAAAAAGGTAATTTTATTGGTCCACATTAATATTCAAAATCAGGAAACTTTACAAATTCTAATATTATTGCTGAATAAGAAAATTAAGAAAGTTTACAAATTCTAATTATTGCTGAATAAAAATATTCTATATAAATTTTTTATTGGTCCACCTCAACAATGAAAATTAAATTATTTTTTCGAATTCCATTATTATTTTAAAACATTATTAAAGATAAAGAAATTATATAATTTTTTTGTTAATAATAAAAAACTAAAATAAATAATATTAAAATAGAAAATTCTAAATTTAAATTAGATATATAGACATATTTACAGACTCTTACATTAGTATCCAAATTTTTGTCATATAACTATAATAATTTTTAAGTTTTTTTTTCTGTGTGTGCAACCATTTCAAATAAAAAAAAAACAAAAAAATAGAGTTAAGTTTCACAAAAAAATGAGTCATTACAACGTAAAAGAACCAACTTGGCTAAACTATAAGTTTAACTATTAGCTAAATTACAAAGAATATAATGAAACGAGATATAAACAAAGCCATTACAAGCCGCTTTAATATCGAAAAAGAGACCGAAAAATCTCCAAAGCTTGGCCACCGAATTTGAGAAGAATGATAATTTCAAGCAATCCGAGAAACATGTCAAGTGATTGATACTCGACACTTTTAAAAAACAAAGCACTGAAAATACAGAAAGAGGTTCCGTCATTAAGACGAAGGAGATTGAGGTATTTGAGGAAGATTTTTGAAATAACATGGCATCTGATACGGTTTTAACAACCTAACATTAACCACAAAGGTAACAATTAGCTGACCAAGCAGCATCCAAATACATTCGGTAAGCCTCAAAACAAGGACGCGAGACCAAAATCATGACACTTTTGAAAAACGAAGCACTGGAAATAGAGAAAGAATTTCTCTCATTAAGCCAAAGATTGAGGTTTCCGAGGAAGATTTTTGAAATAACATGGCATCTGATGGGGTTTTAACAACCTAACATTAACTAAAAATATAACAATTAGCTGACTAAGCAGCATGCGAATACATTCGGTAAGCCTCAAAACAAGGAGAGACCATAATCACTTGCCTCGTGTGGGATCTTACAGCTTTGATTTCTAAATCTATTATTAAAAAAAATTAAAAGCTATATACCTCTAAGAATGTTCACATATGATATAAAAGTTTAATTTTATTGGTCCACATTAATATTTAAAATTAGGAAAATTTACAAAATTTAAAATTATATGGTTAACAAAAAAATATATTTATAGAAAAACAAAAATTGAAGCTATATGCCTCTAAAGACATCCACATAAGATTTAAAATGTCAATTTTATTAGTGTACATAACTAAAATTAAAAAAATTCTAAATTATAAAATTACATTGTTAATACAAAATAATATAGAAAAAATTGTTAATTAAAACTATTCTATTATGAATAACAGTTAAAGCTATATTATTTTCAAGGCATCCACATCAGCATTTAAAAATTAAATTTAATGCATATATATCAAAACTGTAAATTTAAAAACATTTCCTAATTCTATTAAGAAAATAAATTAAAGAATGAAAAATCTCTAATAACAAAAAATATGATATTAAAATCTTCATTATTACTGTTTAAATTATAAATTTCATTTATTATCTATAAAACTATATGCTACTTATACAAGTTTATGTTACTTGATTTTAAGGCTTTTATTTAAACGTGTCACAACCAATTGACAAAAAAAAAACATTTTAATTCACAAATTTTGTGTGATTTTCTTCATTTTATATTCAACTATTATTTTGGTTTCAAATTTAAAGCTGTTATTAATCTCAAAGCAAATATTTTATTTATTAGTTTGTTTTTTAAATTAATATAACAAAATAAAATTTGTATCGGTTAAACAAGAGATGAAAAAAGATTACATTTTAAATTTTATTATTGTTTTTTTAAAATACATATATAATTGGAAGAAAAGTGAAAATGATGAAAAAAAATTATTTTCATGATTTAAAGAAGTGAATGTATAATATTTTATCATCATGTCAATATTATGTTTAATAAGTACTATTTGATTAATTTATAAAAAAATTAGTTGATTTAAGTATATTAACTTATGGGAGAATTGGTTTTATAATGCTGATTGAATTAAAATTTGTCCGCTTAATGTTTTTCATTTTTTTGTCACTTTTTGACATAATTGTCCTTTCAACATTAATGGGTATAATGGGAAAAAATTTCAATAAAATATTATAAGGACAAATTATTTTTAAAAAACATTATGGAGACAAATTCTAATTCAACCAGCATTATAAAACCAGTTCTCCCTTAACTTATAAGTGTTTGATCAAATAATACGTTTTTGAAATATGACATACTATATATAGATTTAAAATAAAACCGTTAAAACCTCAAAATTTACATAAAATTATTATATTAACATCATAATATTTTTAATATATTATTAAATCACTAATATATAAAATTTATATCTTAATAAATATAATTGATTGCGAATAATTTGTATTAACAAAATACCCACGCGTAGCGTGGACGCAAAATCTAGTATATATATGGAAGACTCAGCTTGATCCACAGGGAATAAGCTTCGGCGAATAAGAATATTTGGGAGGAATATTCGGGAGATATTCTCTTGTTTTTCGCGAGTAAAAGGATTTGGAAATCTTCCGTAATTATCTGGACACAATCTTTAATTATCTTAGATTTATACTTTCATTATGCAAAAATTATCCCGAAGGAATGATAAGTGGCGATTTTGACTCATTCTAACCCGTGTTTACTGATATTTTTAGGAGTCTTTAGAGTCTTTTTCAGGTTGTTTCAGGTATCTAGGGAGGTTTAGGCGAGGATTGGAGCAGCTGGAGCTTTTGGTGCAAAAAGGAGCTGAAGCTGAGCAAAATAGCACAAATTATACGAAGAAGTTTCACTTCTCGTTTTGGAGCACCTGCTCCTGACCAACCCCTTTCGTGGAGCACCTGCTCCAACCGCCTGGAGAAAAATAAGAAAAACGATTTTTACCTAATTCAGGGAGACAAAAAGAGAATAAAAGTCCAGAATCGCCTCAAAACTCACGTTTTAGAGAACTTTTTCACGTTTTCTTTATAATTTTCTAGACTTTTGGAGAGTTTTTGCTTGTAAGATTTGGTAGAATAATTCCTGCAATACTTGAAAAGATTTCTGAACCCTTGTTATCTCTTATTTTTATTCATGAATTCCTTTTCATCTTTTGCTGTGTCTCTTTTCTCCATGTCTGAGTAGATCTCTTAGCTAGATTAAGGTTTTCAAAGGATTTCATGAGTTAGAGAATTGAATGCAAATAGGGCTTAAAATCGATTGTCTTCACCATTGTTAAACGTAATGCTTAGGTTGAATTGATCACTCAATCTGCGAATTTAGGTTAACCTGTTCATCAAAAGTGTAATAGGTTGCTAGAAAAAACATTGGTGAGCAATTTGTCCTTAGCCAACAACAGTTGATATTAAGACAAATTGTGAACATATCAAACCTGCTTGTTAATGCTTGTCTGTGATTTCTATATTCAAACAACAGTTTGGAATTTAGGTTGTTAGACAAAGTTATTGGTGCCACGACAGTGGGTTGATATGCATTTATGTTTGAGTTCGAGACCTGCGTTTAAATTGTGCCCTAAATAGTCATCTGATTCTTATCTCTAAAACTCATGCGAATTTTCTTGGTCTAGTGCTTGTTTTAATTCGAATTTAAATCGTTTCTAGTTTGCTTTTACTTGTCGTTTAAGTCACAAAAAAAGTCACAATCAATTCATCTTTTCTCTTAGCTTTGTTTCAGTCCTCGTGAAGTCATAGAGTAACACTGGTCCTCTGGATTTCGAACCTTTTATATTACAATCTCAACGCTGTTCTATTGCAGTTGAAACTAGGAGATACATCCAGTGAATCAATTTTTGGCACTGTTGCCGGGGACTAATTCGTTACCTTTGATTCTTGGTTTGAAATTCAGTCTAAGATTTTACTAAATTTCTCTCTTTTTCTCTTGCTTGCGTGTGTTTCAGGTGCATGACAAACAAATCCACAAGAAGAAACCGCACCGAGGATCTAGTTACCTTGTCAAACACCGAACTAGCAAGAGTTGAGCGAGAAAACAGACATCAAAGGCCTACTACAGCCAACATGGGCGATCAAGGCAACAATGATGACATGGCTGTCAAACTGCAGCAGCTTTGACAGCAATTGGAGCAGCTCCGGAAAGCACAGCAAGACAGGGAGCAGCAACAGCCTGCCATTGGAGATAAGGACAATCTGCATGCTTTTTACCAAAACAGAGCTGCGATTGCTCTTCCAGCTATTCAGAGGAAAGACTTTGAGATCAAACCTCAGTTGATCTCATTGGTGAAGCAGCACCTCTTCCATGGACTCCCTGCTGAAATTCTGATGGACCACATCAAGAATTTTGAAGAGATTTGCAGCACGACTGGGTCCAATAAGATACCAGGCGATTTCCTGAAGTGCAAGCTTTTCTCGTTCTCACTTGTGGAAAGAGCTTTGCGCTGATTGAAGTTATTGCCACCTGGGTCATTGACTACTTGGGAAAAGTGCAAATCATCCGTTTTGGATCACTTTACGCTAAGTCCAAAACCGCATCTTTGAGGAACAAGATCTTGTCGTTCAGACAACAGTCTGGTAAAGCTTTCTGTGATGTTTGGGAGAGGTACAAAGAGTACCGACGAGAGTGTCCTCACCATGGGTTCTCTGATGAGCAGATTCTGACCACTTTTTACGATGGTGTCAATTGGGATTACATGAATGCTCTGAATACAGCTAGTAATGGCAATTTCATGATTAAGTCTAAAGCAGGTGCTAATGACTTGATTGAGAACTTGGCTGCAAGCTCCAACAACAAATCTCAAGAATATGACAAATCGATGAAGGCAGTTAACAGTGTGGAGTCTCATAAGATCGATGAACTGACAGCTAAGGTGAATTTGCTGCTGAAGGAGAACCAGAAATCAGTGCACTTTGCTGAAGGAGAACAAAAACTCTATTATAGAATAAGAAATAGAGTTCATTTATATATATAAAAAAAATAGCATTTATCTATTTTAGAGGCAAAAATAGAGATGGATTGGAAAAAAAATTTCTCTAAAATAAAATATGAAAGCAAAAATAGAGGTGGGTTGAAGAGACCCTAAAACTGTAACGTGGACAATCTGGCGACGGATCCATGGAAGAGAGAAGTTAAAGGTAAATTTTTGTTACAAGTTGTGGAAAGCAGGAATACATAAATAAATTTATCAAGAATTATTTCTCCATTCAAGAAATTTGATTTCTGGGAGCATGAGCTGGATTCTGTTTTTAATTATATTTTGCCTATATCGTGGCCAGTCTGGCGACAGATTTATGGAAGAAAAGTTAATGGTAAATTTGGTTACAAGTTGTGGAAAGCAATGCATAAACAAATGGGTCTTTGGGTTTGGTCAGTTTATAATCGTGTATAAGTTGTAAGTTCGTCATTGATAATTATGAAAATATGATGCTGCTTGTTATTCAAATATATGCTAGCTGTCGACCAATAAAAAAAGAAGCAAAATTTTATATATACTAGCTCCACAAAGACTGGATGCACATCCATCAAACGATTCAAAACCAAAGCAGTAAAGAAATGAGTGAATACCAAAGCAGTGATGAAGAAAGTAATGAAATTCGTTGGACTGGTGAAGACTGTGAAGAAGTAGGTCAAAGCAGTGGTGAAGAAAATGGTGAAAACCCAAGAGACTATGAAGAAAATGATCAAAGCAGTGATGACGATTGGCTTGGAAAAGAGAGGAGATGCATTGTGTCTGATCCAGCTCACCCTCACAACCTCTCCCGTGTGACCGGTTATAAGACGACTAAGCACAATTGCATTTCATGCGGAAGAAGAAGCATTACTTGGGAGCTAAGTAGGAATTTACATTACTACTGCACCATTTGCCAAGTGGAGTTCCACCGTGAGTGTCGTAAGGTTCCAAGTAAGATGATTCACCCTTATCACCCTCAGCACCCTCTCACTTTCACCTTTCTACACAAAAAAACTGGGAGGATAGTTGACACCAATTTCGGTGAACACTACAACTTTTTTTTCGATATCATGCCGATAGGATTCCACAAAACTTATGAGACAATAGCCAATTCCAGTGTCATGTTTGATAAATGCACTTGGTGTGGCAATGATCTCAAAGAGTGGTTCTATCGTTGCCTGATATGCAACTTTGCATTGGATACCCATTGTGCCACACAAATTAATCCATCTCTTACAATCCAAAATCCAAAAAGCCATCATCATTCACTCTCTTTGTTCCCTCGACCACTTTCATTTCCTTGTAATGCCTGCGGGTTGATCAACTTGTTGGAGCCTAGTTATGCATGTTACGAGTGCAATTACATGGTTCATCAAAGTTGTACTGATTTACCCCGCGTCATAAAGATCACGCGTCACCCTCATCGACTCTCTCACACTCCTTACCTCCCGACCAAAGCTTCAACCTGTCGGGTTTGCTACAAGAATGTTGACATCAAGTATGGTCAATATTCTTGCAATCATGGGGATTGCTCTTACGTAGCCCATTCAAAGTGTGCAACGCAGCATGACGTATGGGATAAGAAAGAACTCGAATGGGAACCCGAAGAATCTGACGAAACTAAAGATATTGCGCCATACAAGAAAGTAGGTGTTGGTTTGATAGAACATTTTTGTCATCAAAATCATTTTCTAAAGCTCGAGAAATATGACGGTAAAAGAGACTCACGAAAGAAATGCCAGGCATGTATGCGTTCTATCACCTCTCATGATTTCTACAATTGTATCGAATGTGATTACTTTCTCCACGAGGTATGTGCCAATCTTTCTAGACAACTGGATCATTTGTTGCATATCCACTCCCTTGTCTTGAACCCGCATGATTGCGGGTACTTCACATGCAGCGTTTGTTTACGAAACTCAAGTGGTTGGACGTACATATGCAGCAAACATGACGAATGTAATAGAAACTTTTACCTAGATGTTAACTGCAGTTTAAATCCCGAGTGCTTCAACCATGAAAGTCATGTAGAACATCTTTTATTCGCCGCCACGGGAACTCAAAGTGGAATTAAATGCCGTGGTTGCTATAACGAAACCTATGGGTATCATCTACAGTGTACTATATGCAAGTTCGCTATATGCTACAAATGCTCCACAATTCCAAATGAGATATACTACAAATTTGATGAGCATCCTCTCTCTCTTTGTTACGGAGAAAGTGGCGTGGATGGCAAGTACTGGTGTGAAGTATGTGAGGAACGTTTAGATCCAAATCATTGGTTCTATACAAACACCAAAGGTTGCACGACAATCCACTATGAATGTGTATTCGGAAATTCTTACTACATGAAGACTGGTCTAACATTCAATTACAGGAATAGTAAGGTTGAAGTGGTTGCCAATGGTAGCTCTCGTCCCAAATGTCAAGGCTTTAGATGTTACAAACGTTGCCTACATCCTGAATACTTGAAATGGTATAAGCCGGATGGTACTGAATTTGATTTCTGTTCTTTCAATTGTCTGTTCCGATAGTTTGAAGTTGAGATGTTTTTTTTTTTTTTTGATTAACTAATGTATTTGTTTGTCTTTTCATTTCGTTTTGTATTATATAAAATCACACATCTTGAAGAAATATTTTTTTTTTGAATTCGATAATTTGTTCTATCATTGGGTCATACATTATAAACCAAATAGTTATTCTAATTAATAATTTAGCTATGTACTATAAAAGTTCGCGTGAAAAGAAAAAAATTACGTGAGAGCATGTTTATTGCAGAAACCATATAAGTTTCTACATGAATATTTTAATTTAAATTTAAGCTAAAAAAATTTCTAAGAAACTTGTGTTTTTTATTGGTTCATTGGAGAAACCAATGTTCTTAAAAAAAATGAATAACTGTGGTATTGTGCTGTCTACTTCTTGTCTTGTGCCTGAACTTAAACAACCAGGTCTTGCAAAATTTTCTCTTTTTCGAAGCTGTAATCCAACATACTGCTAAGCGTGTATACATCTGTGATACAACACATCTTTGCTTGAAAGAGGATAACAATTGCACTTCTAAACCAGGATAACCCAGCAGCAACTTCTAAACTTTTTTATTGAGCTCTCTCTTGATCCCGTGTATATATGTCGCTGGTTGATGTGGTTTCCAGGTTAACTCAAACTCCTCCCACATATTTTTCAAGCTTTGATAATTTGTATTTATTGGCTTCTTCTCTTCCCAATCATACCTTTCTAACTCAATCTCTGCCTTTTGACTCATCTCATGCAATTGCTTAATGATCATAGTTCCTATGAGTCTATAGTGTACATTCTATTGTAAAATCTGCAGCAAATCCATTTGCTTGTACTTGAACTTCCAAGACTTAGGAGACAAACTCAGTTTCCTCTGTTGTAATCTGTATTTTCTAAGAAACAATTTTTCGAACACATGGTGTGCACTGATTTTGCCATTTACACATTTGAGAGATTGTGGATGAAACAAGCAACGTGTAGTTGAGTGTCTTCTCGTAAACCTGCTAGAAAGGTCCTAACCAACGAATCCTCAGACAAATTCACCCGAGACTGAAGCAGCTCAAATTTGCTATGATACTCCATTATTCCATCTGTTTCTCGCAATTTTGTAAGCTCAGAAATTGGATCATCATCTGGCTCATCAAAGCTCTCTTCCAATTGAAAGCTCAGAAGTTGAAAGTTGCGGCAAAACTGGCAGAGCATCGAATTGATGATTATCCTCCGAGCCGTATTTCTTGAACGCAGTAACAAAAGCAGCTCGGCCAATTTCTTCTGGATTGTGTCCGCCATGGTTTTCGAAATTCGACAAAGTTTCTGCGGCCGTGATACAATTCATCTGCTGGAAGATGGTGGTCGCCGACGACGGAGGTAACAAGGCATCGGAGGCATCAGAGGCATCGAGGGATTTTTTGTCCGAAGAAGGAGAAAAAATGGTCGACAAAATTTTTTCTCCAAAGGAAAATGGACGATGACTCTTGGACCAATGAGAGCCTGCCACGACAGTTCCAAGAGTCGATCCTTCCAATCCCTAAATAAGGATCAATCCTAGTGTTTTGACGCCATTTTTAATTGCAAAAAAAAACCCATTAAATGTTAGGAAACCAATGAAAAATCACCAATAATCAAAGTCTGATAAACATCCAAAATTTTAGATAGAAAAAACCAGACTATATAAATTAATCATATAAAGTTTCTTATTTCCCGAATAAGCCCATTTCTCGAATCAGAGAAAGGAAAATTAATTAAATCGAAGTCCTAAACCCATACCTGTCGTTGTCTTGTTAAGAAGAAACAAATCAATTGAAATCAAAGTTTGATAGAACTCAAAGCAGAACAAAGGTAGCTACATGAAGGAAAAAGATGAGCGAAGACGGAAACAAGTCTTCGTTGACGCCGGTGAGCAATTAGCCGGGTCCGGGAGATTTTCCGATCAGTTGACCATAGCAATTAGACTATTTGAGGAAGGTTGACTCAAGTTGCTTGAGTTAACGTCTCTCCCTTCGGAGTCTCTCACAAGAATCTCTCAACTACAAAAAATGATAAAATAATAAATATGAATATTTAATTATCAAAGTCTTTTAAAGAAGTAGAGAGAGTCTCTCATTTGAGAGATTTTAATTGAGTGTTCCAAAATTTTTGAAAAACTTTTATAATTATATAATATTATTTGTTATTTTATCATTATTTTTAGAGATGAGAGACTTTTCAATGCAGATGCTCTCAAATCTCTCCGTCTAAAACCAACCATAAGTTAATGAGGTTGTTTTGGCTTTTAAGACAAAAAAACAAAAAACACAAACAAGTCTAATAGAATCTCTGTTTATTTGCAACCAAAATCCTTTGGGTTTATCATGGTAGCCAATATAAACTCGTTTGTTGTAACTGAAATTACATCAGTTAAAATTTAGGAGTTTTGCTAAAAATGATCTAAAAATTGATTTTAAATACAAAAATAGATCTTCGATGCAACATTTGGCAAAAATAATCTAAAAGTAGTGAAAAACAATATAATCATGTATGACCAAACAAAAAAAGAAAGTCCTAATTACGTTTTAAACTTTGACAAAGTCAAAACTTACGAAGTCTACTATATAATTAAATCATAAATTTTAATTTTAAAATTAATAAAAAAATAATTTTGGTTTCAAATTTGCAATCGTAAATTAGGTATGATTATTTTTAATCTATATAAATTATTGTTTCACATTCATAAGTTTAAATTTATGATTTAAAGTTATTGAAACCAAATTTAAATCGAATAAAATATTTTAATGAAAATTTAAATCGAAATTGAACCAAAAATTTTAGGGAAAATTGGAAATTTAAGACAAAAAATGGAAGAACTTGTCCTTCTAGTAATTTTTTAAATTTTGGCAATTATGGACAAAAATAACCTTGTAAATACTTTTAATTTTGAAAATAAATATTTATATATAGTTTTTAATTCTGAAAATTCCAAAAAAGTAAAGAATATTATTCTAAAACATTATTTTAGGAAATACATATATTTATAATTTACTTATAAATATGATCTAGAAAACGTGTTCTATAATTCTAGTGTGTTATAGAATTCATTTTATATTATTTGGTATAAGATCAAGCAAGTATAGAATTCAGTTTCTACTATTTGTTATATGATCAACCGAGTCTAGAATTCGGTTTCTACTATTTGGTATATGATCAACCGAGTCTAGAATCAATGTTCTACCATTTGGTATATTTTCTAAATCTTCCTATAGAATACGTTATCTATAACTTGTACTATATTCTACATATTCTAGAATTTGTATTCTAGAATTTGTTATATATTCTATGTTGTCTAGAATTTAACTTATACTGGTTTGTCTTTGTTCTAGTGAACATAGAATCCGAATTCTGCAAAAACGGTTAACAGAATCACAGAAAATCTAGGATCAGGTTGTATCCAACAAAAATTAAATATTTGAAAATATTTTATTTTCCTTTTGTTGTTTCACGTTTTTTAACATATTTGGGAAGTTTTTTTTATTTTCTTCTTCTCTTTCACGACAATTTAACGATCTCATTGAATTTCTTCTATGATTTCTGTTCTTCTTTGATTTCTGTTCTGGTTATTAAATTATGGTGCATATCTATGTCACCTGTGGTATATGGAGATCGATTCTCAATAAAGATTGGGTTTTTGCCGTCGATGAAGAAAGAAAAGGTCGATTAGTAACTTTGGAATCAAGTACAACTCTTGCAGAGTTAACAGCTATGGTGTTAGAGGACTTTGGAATTGTCAACAACAGTCTCTCCACCAGTGATTATCACAAATGATCGGCAAGTGAAAAATTTTGTTGGCTATGCAAAAAAATTTAAGTCGTTTACATCGCGAGTAGAGAATCAGCGCGTAAACTTTGATTTGAATCACGAGCCATCTTATTCACCTAATGACAAAGCCAACGATGACACTTTCATAGGAACTTCAGAACAAGTCATTACTGATCAGCGGAAAGTTGTCTCGAAAGTCAATTTGCGTGAAAGCCAGGATGAGGGCATTTCTGCATATGATGCCCTGAATTGGGATACTGAAGAAGTGAGTAACAAGGGAGATCGGTTTTGGATGATTGACGCTGTAAAAAAAGGACAAAATTTCAGAAACAAAAGCGAACTAAAAGCAACTTTTGAAATCTGTGCTATGAAGCATAACTTTGACTACAGTGTGGTACAGTCAACAAAAAAATGGTGGTCGATTCGCTGCAAAGATGGTGAATGTAATTGGCGGGTTCGCGCAGAGTGTCTAGAGGGGTCAACGTATTTTAAAATCAACAAGTATGTAGCTGAACATACTTGTGCGCCGTCGAGAAAAAACAAAATAGCTAGGACAGCATCAGCTAAAACAATCGGCAATCTGATTATGCAGAAGTATGATGGTGTTAAGGAAGGGCCTAAACCAAGAGAAATTATACAGATTATGCGTACAGAACATAGTTGCGAGATCTCATACGATCAAGCCTGGGAGTCCAAAGAGTATGCAGAAAACGCTGTCAGAGGTATTTCAGAAAAAAGTTATGGCAAAATTCCAAAATATTTGCACATGTTGAAAGAAGCTAATCCGGGTACGCATACTCAATACGTAACTGATTCTGATTATAGATTCAAGTATCTATTTATTTCATTTGGGCAATCGATCAGAGGATTCTACCAAGCAATTCGTAGAGTGATAGTTGTCGACGGTACATTTCTGAAAGGTAAATACAAAGAAGTTCTGCTTGTTGCTACAGCTTTAGATGGTAACTCAAATCTGTATCCAATTGCGTTTGGTGTTGTTGATTCAGAGAATGATTTGTCATGGGAGTGGTTTCTAAGGCAACTAAACATAGTCATCGCAGATGATCAGACTTTGGCATTTATTTCTGATCGAAATACATCTATCATTAAAGCACTTGCTAAAGTGTTTACGCAGTCTACACATGGAATTCGCATCCACCATTTGCTGACTAATGTTGTCACATATTACAAGACAAGGGGTTTGACTGGCTTGATTGCAAAGGCG